GTGGAAGCAGGCTGAAGAGATCTGGGGGCTGAATGCCACGACTGATCCCCACCCTGGATCAGGGGTCCTGGAGCGGAGGGGGGAATGCGATTGGGTCAGCTGACAAAGCAGGCGTATGGCCAGCTGACTGTGCTGATGTGCGAACGTTGATAACTGTGCTGTGGTTATGTGACAGAATGTCCTTATTTTTTAGGGAATATGTATGGGAGTATTTAGAAAGAAAAATCCATACTTTATGTCATGTAACCGGCAAATGGTACAGAAAAAAAACCTACAGATTTTTAAAATTTTTAATTTTATTTGTTTGAAAGAGTGACAGAGAGAGGTGGAGACAGAGAGAGGGGTTTCCTCCGATACGGAGGTGGAAAGTATCAGACTCCTCAAGTGGCCTAGGCTGGAGGGAGCCGGGCTGCCCTCATCCACGGCTGGAAAATACCCCGAGGCGCAGGAGTGAGGGCGGTGGCGAGGCAATGGGGGCCTCTGATGGGAAGCAGTCCAGCCCTTCCGCCCAGGCGCCTGGTATCTGAGGGATCCAGCAGGGAGGGGTAAAGCCTTGGCTGAGTGGGGACAGAGGACGTCACTGTGCTTTCTGTGGCTGCAGCTTCCTGGAGTGACGCGGTCCATCTTCCCCGGAGCCCGGGCGTGCTGGGCACCCCGCATCCTCAGGAGTCTCCCCATCTTCCAATGGTTTACTACTTTCCATTAAAGCAGCAAAATTGGAGGCCAGGTGACAGGAGGTGGGATAGTTTCCCTCCTCCTTGGGATAACTTCTGGTGGCTTTCCCCCAGGCTGCAAACCCTCCACCTGTGAGCCGAGGGCCTTCAGCCCTGGCCCCGGGCTGGAATCTGGCCTGGGTGCCTCTCACCCACACTCCAGCTCTTTTATGGACAAACCCTGGGACAAGCTGTGCTAATTGCCTCTGTGCTTGGGCATGCTGACAAACCTCAGCTCTGACTTCTCGTCCTTAAATGCCAAACAGCTTGATAGGGCATCATAGCAATGGTGTTACCATAGAATGTTTAAGTACACAACACACAACACACAAAGTTGCCAGTGGTGACGTCAGTCATTACAGGAACGGAATGAGAGCAGATTGCTGTGTGGCAACAACCCGAGACCAGACTCAGTTCCCTGGCAGTGTAAAGAGGCTGTCGTGTCAGTGGCCACGGTGTTGCAATCCATCATCTCGCTGAAAATTGATGACTTCAGCTATGGTAACTAGCCGTAATATTTAGTGCAGCTGCCTCGAACCACTTGAATATGTCAAAAAACTTTTTGCCTAAGGCATTATATCAAGAGCTCCTCCAAGAAAACCCAGGACCTCCAGGTATATATTTTAGGGATTTTTACTTTCTTGCGTAGCTTTTCTGGTTCCTCTGTATGCACATTAGTGACACTTGCACACTGTAAATTGTATTTATCTATTGATTAGTCTAACTGCCAGGCACTGTGCTAGGCGCTGCATACAAGAAACAAGCAAAGGGGCCAGGTCCCACTGTCTTGGAGCTTCACTTGTGGTGAAGGAAGAAGGGACGTGAACAGGATACTTTTAGATGGTGTTAAGTGTTCTAAGACGATAAAGCAGGGTAACGTGAGGGACTGAAGGTAGAGAAACCAGGGAAGACTTCTCTGAGGAGGTGTCAAGTAAGCTGCGGGAACAGAGACTCAGAGCCAGAGGAGAGAGGGAGTGCAAAAGAGTTGAAGCAGCTTAAAATGAGAAGACACAAGTTGCAATGTGCACGTGAAACTGCAGAGTTAGACACAGTTGTTAAAGCAGGGCTGCAAATTCAGGCCCCATCTTTCGGGAAGCCAAGGTGGAAAGGAAATGTGATTCATCTCCTACTTTGCTTTGTTCATGAGGAAGAAGCATATTGGTTTCTCAAGGGGAAAAAAAAAAGCTGTCTTTTTTCTGGCACTCAGGATTAAAACAGACTTCCTGCCTGAAGCTTCCTAGAGCTACATAGAGTGATCTTGTTAGTGTGGCAGGTTCCTCTCCACACAGTCGCTCCGATCCTGATCCCGGAACCTGCAAGTGTGTTACCACGCATGCAGGAGGCATTCTCCAGTCCCAGAACGGGGGGATTGTCTCAGAGTTTTGGGGGCATGCCCGACCTAATCACCCAGGTCCTTAAAGGTCACAACCTTTCCCAGCTAGAATCAGAGGAGGATGTGACCTCAGAAACTGGTCCTAGGCATCCAATGTCTCGGGCTTTGAAACTGGAGGAACAGGTTCTCAAACCCAGGACTTTGGGCAGCCTTTTCAAGGCTGGGTAGGTCGAAGAAAGGTTGTTCCCCAAGCCTCCAGAGAGAGACCCAGCCCTGTTGCTGGTGCTGACTGTAGCCCGGTGGGACCCGAGTTGGGCTTCTGTCCTATGGAACTTCAAGACGATGAACTTAGACTTCTACTGAGTGTTGGTCACTTACCACAGCCGTATAAAACCAATACAATTAGTTTCATTTTGGTGACAATAAAAACTCACTTGAACATCTAAGCAAAAAGGCGCACTTCACTATGAAGCCCTGGAAATCGTGCATGGACTTCGAAGGCAAGTCATTTCAGGAAGTACAATGACTGGGCATGGACAGCTGTCAGACTCTTTTGGTCTCTTCTCTCTGTGGATCATTTTCAGCTTTCCTGTTCTCTCTTGTTTTTCCCTGCAGCCTGGTTCTCTGCATTTCTCCAAACCACAGAGTAGGAGAGGATGTTCGTGGTCGACTCCTGCTTCCCTGTGTTAATGATGTCCTATGTTTACATGGGAGCCAGGGAGAGACTGAAATGCCGGCGTCGCAGTTCCACACTCTTTGGAGCAGGATCAGATTGGCTTGCTTTGAGTCAGGGATCAACTATTAGAGCAACAACAGTAGCCAGGAGACTTGGATACCTTGTCTGAGGAGCCAGGGCAAATTTCTAGAAAAAGACATTTTGCCTACACAGCTATTTTTTTTTTTAATGCAATCTGCAATTCATTTGGAGATCAATAAACCATTTAGCAGGTAGGGACCACCATTAAAAAGATATAAAAATCAGCAGGGTGCATAACATGTGGTATGGGTAATGTTTTATAAAACCTCAGTTATTAAACACACAGCTACATATGCCCTGGGTGATAATGTACACCATATTTCTTTCGGTGGGTTATGATCCAAAAACTTTGAAAAACCTGTGCTGGACACTCTGGTAGGATTGTGCTACAGGTTGTAATAAGCATGGTTCTTAAAAGACTCCGTCTGGTGAATGCAGAGGTGTCGTGAGTACTTTTTAACAATAGTGTCTTACAGCAACGGCGTAAGCGAGGAAATGGCGTGAGACCACGAGCGTGACCTGGCGCAGGCAGTTTTACGAGGGCGAAGACACACACAGAGCTTCCCTGACAGGGGAGAGCTTAGTCCAGTGGCTCCCAACCTGGCTTTGTGGCAAACTCTACTTAAACTCCTTTTCAAACTGATTTCACGGGATCTATTCATTCAGAATTGCTGCAGGTGTAACCTGGGCGTCTGCGTTCAAGCACAAGATAAAGCAAAACAAACAGAACTGCTCCGATGTCTCTGCTCCGAAGTCAGGTTTGGGAATCAGCGGCGCAAGGCCGATCAGGGTGGAGGTCATCTCTGGGCCTTTCAGACAATTCTCCCTGAGTGCGGTGTCTCCCAACCAGGCTCCCATTAGGCATTGCGAAGTAGGCAGGAGGACGTCATTTCCTGGAAAGGGACTGGAATGTAAGGCTTCAAGGCGGCCCTCACACTTCACGGCTGATTGGAGGCGAAGGTGGAATTCTTTCTCCTTTTGTGGACCTGGTGGCTCTGACACTCTTGGTTTGGATACACGGCCATGGTGCAGAGTTGGGGAACGGGGCAGGGAAGGAGGGATGCAGAGAGAGAGGGTTGCAAACTAGCCCCTTGCTAGACTACAGTTCTCTCCACCTCTCCGAAGCAAGCTGTGGCCAGGACCCCACAGTTCTCCCGGATAGAGTGCAGCCGGGGGCTATTTGCGCTTGAAACGTTTTCCAAATTGAAGCTACTAGTCATGTATTTCGAGCTTTTTGGAGAACAGAACAGGAGGAAGCAGTTGCCAAACATACCCCTACCTCTAAGCCATAAAACGAATCAGACTGGCTATCAATCAAATTCATTTTAGAGGACATCTGGCCTCGAATAATTGGGCTAGAACTGGGGGAGTTCATTTCTTCCCACAGCTGCTAGAGCGCAGAAGCCCTTCCTGGCTCAAGTCAATAGGTATATTAGCATACAGCTGGAGATCCCCCTTTCCAGCCCCGCTGGCAGGGGGTTACCGTGGCCTCCTCGCGGAGGTCTGTGGTGCGAACATATTCCCGGGAATTGTCATTTGATCTATCAGGAGCCTCCTCAGCCCCTCGGTGGAGACAAAAACTCCAAGCAGCCCTACTCAGATCATTCCCGTATTTTCTTTCCTTTCCTTTCCTTTTTTTCTCTCTTTCTCTCTCTCTCTTTCTCCTTTTGCCGTTGGTTCACCCTCCAATGGCCGCCGTGGCCGGCGTGCTGTGGCCGGCGCACCGCGCTGATCCGATGGCAGGAGCCAGGTGCTTATCCTAGTCTCCCATGGGGTGCAGGGACCAAGCACTCGGGCCATCCTCCACTGCACTCCCTGGCCACAGCAGAGAGCTGGCCTGGAAGAGGGGCAACCGGGACAGAATCCGGCGCCCCGACCAGGACTAGAACCCGGTGTGCCGGCGCCGCAAGGCGGAGGATTAGCCTAGTGAGCCGGCGCCGGCCCATTCCCGTATTTTTAACCCAGCTCCGCACCCAGTTCGTCGCAAGGCCTGCAGCCCCAGCTTCCACTGGCTGGGCCCCGAGCGATATGATTGGCATGGCCATCGCACTCTTACGCTTACGAAGCTGCCCTCGTCTGTGAACACCGGCTGCTTCTCGGTTGCAGCCGGGATTCTCAGGCCGGTCCCTAGGAGGAGGTGCCCGCCGCGTCGCCTCGGAGCGCACGCTGGGCACGCGGGCGCCGTTGTGCGGTCCGCGCCTCCCAGCCAGCGGGGCGGCGGGAAGAAGGGGCTTCGCGCCCGCCGTCGCGCTTTGTCCCCGCGCGGCCCCCGTCCACTTCCCCACGGGTGCTCCGCCGGCCGCGAAAGTTTCTCCAGGTGCGGGATTCCGGGCTGGGCTACGTGTCGTGCCTGCCGGAGGCCAGTCCGCCCGCCGGCCTGGGTGAGTGGTCGGTCCCTAAGGTCGCCCCCGGAGGCCGGTCCAGCGGGAGGGGCGGGCGGCCCGGAGCGGCAGGCCGAGGCTGTTGCCATGGCAACGCGCGGGGGCAAACGGGCCTCTTGGGCCTCCGGCTGCGGCTCGGCGGGCGGCCGGGCTGTGGAGTCCCCGCCGCTGGGACTCCATTCCCCCGGGGCCGGCGCTCGGCGTGGGCCGCCCTGGCTGCCCCGGTTCCTCTCCACCCCTTCTCGGGACGTGAACCTTTTTGAATGTTTAATGCGAATTTACCTTAGGGTAAGTGTGTGCGGCAGGTAACATCTTCAGCAGGTCTGAAGGTGCGTTTCTCTCGTAGCACCTCATAGGGTGATTCTGTCTGTCCCCGCTCCCAGCGGGTGCACACGGGGGTGAAGAGGCTGGCTCTGTGGCTAGGCCATCGAGGCCCTGTGCCTTAGTTCAGTTTCCTAAATGCTGATTGTAATGGGGCACACAGCTGGGGGCTCCGCTTAGCGGTTTTGTGATGGGTGAAGGCCCAGCGCTGGGGAGTGAGTTTATTGGACATTTGCGTGCCGACAGCGGCCTGATCCTCCTGGGCTCGCATCACCAGCCAGGACCAGCCGGGGAGGACCCCTGCTCACGGCTGCCTGCCCAGCAGCTCCACTGGCGGGCCCCGCGGAGGGCTCTGCCAATGGGAAGAAACATCCTCAGGGTTCACTTCGTCTCCAAACCAAATCTCAAATCCGTCTGTTTATTTCTCTGCCACTGTCACCTAGAACAAGCTGCACTCACCTGTTGCCCAGTGTCTTGTAGTACCCTCGTAACTGGTCCTAAGGCGTTTGCTTTATCCTTTCACTAGTCCCAGCCTTTTATTTTTTAATTTTTTAAGATTTATTTGAAAGTCACAGTTACACAGAGAGAGAAGGAGAGGCAGAGAGTGAGAGAGGTCTTCCATCTGCTGGTTCACTCCCCAGTTGGCTGAGCTGATTGGAAGCCAGGAGCCTCCTCCAGGTCTCCCACGCAGGTGCAGGGACCCAAGGACTTGGGCCATCTTCTACTGCTTTCCCAGGCCATAGCAGAGAGCTGGATCGGAAGTGGAACAGCCGGGACTTGAACCGGCACCCATATGGGATGCTGGCCCTGCAGGTGGTGGCTTTACCAGCTGCACCACAGTGCCGGCCCCTAGTCCCAGCCTTTTAAAAAGTTAGATTGTGCTTGATTGTACTACACTCCTCTGTGTTCTTAGGATAGAGTTGCAGCTCTAATGTGGCTTAAAACTTGGGTGACCATATGCTTTATTATCCAGGACCATCATAGTTCTTTGTTTTATTTATTTATTTGAGGGGTAGAGCTACAGACAGAGAGAGGGAGAGACAGAAAGGTCTTCCATCCGCTGTCACTCCCTAAATGGCTGCAACTGCTGGAGCTGGGCCAATCTGAAGCCAGGAACCAGGAGCTTCCTCCAGGTCTCCCACGTGAGTGTAGGGACCCAAGGACTTGGGCCATCTTCTACTGCTTTCCCAGGCCATAGCAGAGAGCTGGATCAGAGGAGGGTAGCCAGGATTCAAACTGGCACCCTTATGGGATGCCGGCACCACAGGTGCCACAGCGCTGGTCACCAAGATATTTGTGATGATAAAAGAGAATGCTGTTATTTCTATGGGGACGGGGGAGAAGGCTGCACTTGGGACTGTCCCTCAGACAGCCTGGGGCACGTGGTTACTCAGCACTGGCCCTCTTTCCCGTCCTTTGTTACCGTTGTCCCCGGCACTGTAGGTTCTTTGCACGCGCTCTGCTCCCTGCCCGCGTGCTCTTCCTGTCACTCTGTCATTAGCCCTTGTGCATCCGGCACAAATGTTGCCTCAGGAAAACAGCCCCTTGCTGCTCTGTCGTTTAATACAGCTTCCAGTCCTCTCTCCTTATGTCGCCTGCCACAATTGATGGCATGTGGCTGGTGCATATTCTGTAGTTAATAAATACTCAAATGTTTGAATTTTAAGCATTTCCCCATTTCATTAAATGATCTCTGGAAGTGTCACAGGGTGGTTAGGTGGCACCGACTTCTGGGCCAGCCTGCTGGAACTGACTTCCAGCACCACCACAATTTCTTATTTGAAATTTATGGGACTGGCTGCGTTTTACAATTCAAAATATTTCAGTTTATAGAAAGATGACCTGGGATAGACACTGTGTGATGTCTAGTAGGGTCTGGGGCAGCACCCTGTAATTAAACACATGAACTTTTATTTAATAAAATATTTACTCCAAGTAGGATAAAGATGATAAGTGGTTTCACATGAAGTTTTCCCAGCAACTGGGTTTATCACAAATTTATGGAAACATTTTGTTTTCAGAGCTTTTTGGGTTTTTGAATCTCAGATAAAGACTTGCAGCTCTGTCTTAGTGTAAGTGGAGCCCATCCCGTAACTTCTCCGTCCCTCAGATTCCTCAGCTGGGAGGTGGAGGTCATTCTGGCACTGACCTGTCTCAGGTTCTAAGTCATGTTTTGAGGGGTAAATGAGTTAATACATGTTAGGTGCTTAGCATAGTGAATGGTCTTTAGTGTCAGCTCATGTAATTAAAAAAAAATTATTTGAAGCAGTTTGGCAGGTAAAGGTGGGGTGCGAGTGAGAGAGAGAGAAAAAGAGAGAGACAAGAGAGAGGGAGTGAGCAGAAGCGAGCACTTTCGTGCACTGGTTCATTCCCTAGATGGCTGCAACAGCTAAGTCTGGGCCAGACTGAAGCCAGGACCCAGGAACTCCATCCAGGCTGCCTTCCGTTGCTTTCCTGGATCAGAAGCAGAGTAGCTAAGACTGAAACAGGCACGCAGATATGCGGCACCAGTGTAGCAAGCAGAGGCTTAACCCCTGTGCCACAACAGGGACCCCATGCCATTTATTTTAGTTTTTTAAAGTATCTTTAACAATTTTTTATTTTGGCTTATTTTAATTTGATTTGAAAGGCAGAGGTGCAGTGGGAGACAGAGACAGTCCCAGTGTCCTACATGGGTGTCAGTACCCAGCTACATCTGCCCCACCTGCTGCCTGCTCGTATGTACACTAGCAGGAAACTGGATCTGAAGTGGAAGAGCTGGGACTTGAACCAGGCACTCTGATGTGATGTGCGTGTCTCAAGAGGCATCTTAACTGCTATGCCCAACATCTATCCCATCATATCATTTTTGTTGTCCCCATAATCATACCATGGATGAAATAAGAGTTAATTGCAATTTACTTATTGTTGGATATTTGTATTTCAAGTATAAAATATGGCAATGAGTATCTTTATACTTAAATACTTTCATTACATTATTTATTTATTTATTTATTTTTGACAGGCAGAGTTAGACAGAGAGAGAGACAGAGAGAAAGGTCTTCCTTCCGTTGATTCATGCCCCAAATGGCCACTACGGCTGGCACACTGTGCCAATCCAAAGCCAGGGGCCAGGTGCTTCTCCTGGTCTCCCATGCAGGTGCAGGGCCCAAGGACTTGGGCTATCCTCCACTGCACTCCCTGGCCACAGCAGAGAGCTGGCCTGGAAGAGGGGCAGCCGGGACAGAATCTGGTGCCCCGACCTGGACTAGAACCCGGTATGCTGGCGCCGCAGGCGGAGGATTAGCCTAGTGAGCCGCGGCTCCGGCCAACATTTTTTATTTCTTAAGATCAATTCCTAAAAATGAAATTATGGCATCAAAATACAGGAACATTGTTAATGCTCCTGAAACATTGAAACTTACTGCCATACGTCTTCAGAAAGATTATGCCAACTTACAGTCCCACCATCAGTTTTATGAAACCCATGCTAACATTGTTTTTATTTTTTAAAAAACTTTGCTAATGTCGCAGATAAAAAGTATACCTCCTTATTTTAACTCATACCTGTCATTATTAATGTGGTCAAGCATTTAAAAAAATCTCGTTGCTGGCTATTAGATATTTCTTTTCTATGAAAGGCCTGTATGAGCTTTTTGTTGATTTTTTTTTTAATTGGAGTCTCAATTTTGTCCTTATCAGTTGTGTAATTGTTGGCTTTCTGTCTTCCCCAGCCAGGGCAGGAGCTAGTGTGCTCGGCGTTAGCTGGAGTTAGTTGGAAGGTAGCCCTGGAGCCTGGGGCAAGTTGTTACTTGTCTGCAGGCTACTAAGCAAGAGAAAACAGTCTCAGGGGCTGGGGCTGGGGAAGCATTTGGAGCTTGGAAGCAGGAGAGCATCCAGGTAGCAGGCAGAGGATCAGGGCAGACGGGGACGGGCACAGTGAGCCTCACACCTGGGAGAGAGAAGTGTGACCCTGTTATTGTAGGTACACTGTGGGGAGGAGGTGGGCTGCCGGGCCCGTCCTGGCCCTCGCTGCTTCATGTGCACTCCTCCCTCCTACAGTGAGGATATTAGCCTTTGCTTTGACATGGGGGCATTTTCCATACACCAACCTGTCCATTTAATTTATAATGATTCTTGATTGATAGACGCTAAAGTAATTTTAATGTTGTCTGCCTATTAATCTTTTCCTTTGCGATTCACTGCTTTTATATATAGAAAGTCCTTTCTATGCAGAGACCAGGTATCTGTTTTCTTTAAGAATGTTACTTGGTGAGGTCAGCAAGTCGGGAGGTAAAGAGTAGGTGAGAGAGAGGTGAGTAGTGTGGTGTCTAATAAAAAACCTAACAGATGAGGTGCAAAGGGTGATACTCATGCCATCTTCACGTCTCTTTGAAGATGGAAGAAAAGGGAGACTGAAGAAGGCTCAGTCTCTGGCAGTGTCTGTTATGCATTGTGAATTTGTAGAATGTTACCCTTAGAGACTTCTATCTTTCTAAAAGGGAAGATGTGATCTTTGGAAGGTTATTCTACTTCTCATGATCCTGTATGGTGTTTCACCCACAGCTGTTACATATTGAGAAACAATTTCCCTGTTTTTAGAAGGAGGCTTAAAATGGAAAATGTAACAAAATAATTTGTCAAGTTTCCTGGCATTGATAAATTGGTATGTATTAAGATGCATTTCAGGCAGGCACCGT